ACGACCAATCAGAAGACTGTGTTTTTCTGCTAACAATAATCTGTAATATGTACATGACACTATAAATATGTGTTGATTTCCTTAATAAACGATCTGTTTCCTGGCCCTTGTATTCTGTTGTTACAAACTGATTAAAACTTCCCAGGACTTTTACATACCGTTATCATAACCCTGGTTATCTATCACTGTCAACTAAAAGCAGCACAGATGACGATGTCAAATCTAGCTAGGATGGGAAAAGCAAGACAGTACCTTCATTAATCTGAAATCACTACGGAAATCTGCTCCATACTAATATCAGGCTAATCACTGCTTCTATATAATTCAGAGACTGTACACATCACCAAAAGCATTTCCAACAGACTGTAGACATTTTCATCAACTCCATACTGAACATTAGACGGTCAGTTGGTAGAAAGGATTACCAACAAGGAGCTGTGACCACAAACCAACCTAGAACCTATCGCTGAACAAATATGCCTAAGGAAACAGAGATGGATTCGGTACACGCTGAAGAGATCGCTGATTGAGATCATGTGTAAGACAGGCACTCGGGTACAACCTAAATGGGATACGACAAGTTGGGCGTTCATGACAAACATGTAGGAGATGAAAACTTATGCTTTATTGTGTGGGCAGATAAAATGGACCGAGAATAGGCGGGGGGGGGAATGGAGATGTACTGTCGTAGCTCTATGTCCCACTAAGAACATTCAGTTTTTATATAAATTCGCAAGATTCTGACATTATATTATAATTAATATTATTAATATAAGACCATTTGACTTGGACCAGTTGTTGATGTCCAACAGAAAGCTATTAAGTTTGGAGCTGTCAGACTCGGAAGTGATAGGCAGTGATACAGTCAGATCATCTGCATATTTGACAAAGTTAGTTTCGTTTGAATGAGGCAGGTCATGTAGGAAGAAAGAAAAAAGAAAAGGAGAGAGGACAGCACCTTGTGGAACACCGGATTTTGTAAGCGAGGTAGAAGAAGATTTGCCGTTATATACAGTATACTGCATTCTATCAGAAAAATAGGAATGCAACCAACTCTTAGCCCAGGATCCTGTTTGTGTCAATGATAGCTTATTTAATAAAAGGCCCCTAGGTACAGAGTCAAAAGCAGATGTGTAGTCTAAGAAAGCACTACGAACATATTTAGCACCTTTGTCTAAACAAGAGACAACATTGTGATACAAGACAACCGCAGCATCCAAGGTACTTCTACCATGTTTGTATGCAAATTGTTTAGGATCATTAAAAGGTTTCAAAGCGGGTTCAAGACGAAGTAAAAGTAATTTTTCCATCAATTTTAAAAAGGGGGAAGTAATTGCAATAGGCCGAAATTTAATATCAGAACCAGAAGATGGTTTTGGTATAGGGATAATTTTAATGTTTTTCCATGCAAAAGGTAGAACGTTACCGGAAAAAGAGGCATTAAAAATGTTAGTAAGAGGATAACACAAAATATCAGCACAATTCCTGAGGACAATGGCAGGTATGCCGTCAGGACCAAGGCTTTGAGAAGGCTTAAGAGACCGGAGACATTTAAGCACATCAAGGGTATTAAAACCACTAAAGTTATTGTCAATATGATTTGTATCATTTGGAAGGGTATCAACAGAAGAGCGTATGAAAGATTTATTAAGAGTGTCAACATTAAGAGATGGAACAGAAATACATCGCTTACCGTTAGTAATTTCTTTGAAAAGTTTCCATAAATTAGAAGGGGTTTTACATGACAAAAATCTTTGATTATATAAAACACTTAGTCTTTTTATTTCCAGTTTTATCAGCATGTTTAACTTTTTTACACCAGGCTTATCATTAGTTTTGAACAACAGTTCTTTATTTCTACGTAGCTTTTTGAGATATGGCGAAGATAAGCGATCAAATCGGATGAATAATGTTTCTTTAGGACAACATATTTCGAAACAGAATTTAAGATAATCAGTAGTGTTTGTGATTGTTTCATCTAATGTTTGTTCTGTAAATAAGTCCCAGTTAGTGTCTTTCAACATGCATCTGAGCTTGTCTAGGTTGTCTTTTGAGTAGCATCTCCGTTGAACTTTACTGCAGAGGTGAGAGAGGACACCTTTGTGTGATTTGGAATATATTTTAGGCAGCACACGTATGATGCAGTGGTCAGAATTAAGTAGAGGAGCACGTTTGCGAGCTTCATATATACCAACATCATTGATAAATACCAGGTCCAATTTTTTACCAAGACGGGTGGCAAAGTTGACAATATTGTCATGACCAAGTGATATAAGGAAGGAGTGATCGCATGAATTAAAATCACCTGTTACTATTGATAAAGAGTTCTCGAAGCAAGCTGCAGCAAAAGCGGTGAATTCATCGGCGAACATAGATAAATCCAATATGGTACAGCCAGGAGAGACATAAACATTAGAAATATAAATGAATTTGTATTTTGAAATGTGTTTCGGGCGACATCTCACAGTGATGCAATCAATGAAGTCATTCGAGAATTTGAAACAAACTTTGTTTGAAATGGACCATTTTGAGTGAATAAAAGTTGCAACACCTCCACCACACTTTTTCTTGGAACAAATACGGTCTTGTCGAAAAACATTGAAATTGTTTAGAGACACAATATTGTCATCGTATGAGTCATGGAGCCAGGTTTCTTGCAGAGTGACTATACCAGTATTGTGGTAGGTACTAGAAGACAACAGAGACTGAAAATCCAGAATTTTGTTAGGCAGGGACCGGCAGTTGGTACTAATGATAACTGGAACAGTGGTGTGATGTATGGGTGTAGATTTTAAGGCACGCTGCCAACCTCCATGGTGCTTTTTCTTGAGTTTATTGCAAATATGAAAGTTTTTGGGTTTAAAACGTTTTATAAAATCCCGAGGGTAGATAATACGATTAGAATGCATAATGTGATATGTAAATACCAATAAAATACGAGTAAATAGATGCAAAATGTACATGGAATGTGGTAGCCCAAAAATATTCAAACAGGCCGCCAAGGTCATTCGATGTTGATCCGTAAAAGTGAGTGCAAGTAAATCTTCCTGCCAATCTGGCAACAGTAATTTGCACTTAGACTGTGCAAGGTACCTACCATACCTAGAAACATTGATCACCAACTAATGAAGACGAAAACAGTTATGGTTAGTACCATCCTTTAGTGTTAAGTGGTTGAAAGTGATGAGAGAAGGTCCTTGAATCTAGGTGTCGTGTTTGTTGGCTTTACTCAGCAAGTCGAAAGCACAACCTTGAAGCAATTTATGTCTATTCGGATATCAGAAAGCATTTCTCCCACTGTTATAATCAAGGACATTACTATTAGACAATGACTGACGTTCTATAGGACTGTAATGGATGTACTGATTGCGTAACTCTAATACCACGTCTTTCGAAGAATTGTAGCCGAAAACCAACAAACTGGCAGCGAAGACAGGAGTCCATCCAGGTGAACATAGAGAAGACAAAGGTGATGAAGATAACGCCCCAAGAGTAACAACAACAACAACAACAACCAGGACCAATCACTATCAACGGGAGAGATTCGACAGACGTTAGCTCCTTCACTTATCTGGCCACGAAGCACGGTTTCAACCACGGGCGGACAGCACGGATGATATCAAAGCTGGCCAGAATCGGAAAGGCAAGATGCACCTTCATCAAACCTGAAACCAGTTTGGAAATATTCTGGTGTCAATCAGTCAGCACAAACAACAAGATTTGGACTCTGTTCAACACAAATGTGAAGTCAGTTCTTGCGCTGCGCTGCGCGTGTTACAAAAAGGATTTCCAACAAATTAGATTTTTATCAACATCTGCCCGCTTCTCTGGCCCCATCATACTGAAGAATTAGCGACAAAAAAAAACTCTGGCGATGAGCACACCAACACAGGCAAGAGCTGATTGCGAAACAAATATGTAGGAGAAATCGCAGATGGATCGTTGAATGACACCTCACCCAACACAGGCCATCGCTTCAGTGGAATCGAAATGCGAAGCGACGAGTAGGTCATCAATGCAAGGATGACATGGAGTAGGTCGTGTGTTGGAGAGGCGGGGACGAAAGATTACAGTCAATCATGGATCCAGCTGAAGACGACAGTGGGAAATAGAACAAAAGTGGAAATATTGTTGAAGCCGTATGTTCCACTCGGAACCCAAATAATAATAATAATAGTAATAATAATAATAAATAATATCATGTCTTTGGTCTTTAGAGTTAATGCTGACAGACAAGTATATCAGTACAGTTTGCCAGGTGGTCAATCGGTCACCACGAGGCTAGATGAGACTCACCACCACCACAACATCACAGAACAAACTAATCACACCGCTGTCTTGTGAAATGATCAATAAAATATTGAAGTTCCATATTAGTGGAACAAATTTATTTATTATTATTATTCAATTCAATAAACTATGCAACGTAAAAGAAAGCTGCCACACATCTTGGAGGCTGTACACGCACACACACACACATACACTCAAACTGTACGTCTCATTTAAAAAGGAGAAATACAAAAAAGCACAGAGACATAGATTGAATACACGCATACATACATGCATACACGCAAACGCGCCTTTCTTAATCAATGTGACTTACACCCAAAAGGAGACAACTTCACCCACTTCCCACCCCAACTCACAAACAAAATGAACACAACTGCCCGTAAAATAAATAAATAATTAGAATGCAGGATTTCACCATGAGCTGACTTCACTTAGAAAACCACTGGAAAACCTGGAAGTACTGGACAGCTAGCTGTTTCGTCAGCCTAGTTTGGGACTCTTCATCAGTACGCACCCACATCGCGGGGTTCGAACCCAAGGTCTTCTGGTTATAAGGCGAGCTAGCTCGTAGACCACTGAGCCACTGGGACCCGATCCAATGGCTAGTCCATGAATTCTAACTTCCGCCAATTCACGACAGGTTGAAGATGAGGCAGTAACTCCTCACTCATCGAAGACGACATTGCGAAATGGTCGCGCTATGTCGTGCATGAATTGGCAGAAGTTAGAATTCAAGGACTAGCCATTGGATCGGGGGTCCCAGTGACTCAATGGTCTACGAGCTAGCTCACCTTGTAGCCAGAAGGTCCTAGGTTCGAACCCTGGAGGTGGGTACTCCCAGGTTTTCTAGTCAGTGGTTCTCTAACTGATGTCAAGCTCATGGTGAAATCCTCCATGCAATCAAACACAAAATCCCTACAGAAAAAATCAATACTTGAAAATAATTAGAAATTGAGATGGTGTACACATCGTAGTAGTATATTATGTTTGATTTTATAAATATAACATGAAAAATTCAATAAACTGTTTGAGCTGTAACCAGAATAAAACAATAATAATAATGATAATGAGTAAATATACACAATATTATAAACAGGAGGGATAAAATAAAAACAAAACAAAACAAGGCTAGGGAGGGCAAGCCCCCTCCTCCTCGCAAACTAAAGGTGTGAAAATATACAAGGGATAAAATGAGAATATTATAATAATAATAATATTATTATTATCATTAATAATAATAATAATAACAGTAAAAATGCGAATACCGGCAGTAACCACCCTCCGCTCAAAAATAAACAAAGAAGATGAATCATGAATTTAAAGGTTTATGCATAGAAAAAAAACACTCTAAGGCATGAATGGAAATCGGCGAAATGTTCAGTCAAAGAGCGGAGCTAATCAACTTCACACACACACACACACACAGAGGCAAACAAGTGTAGTGCACATACACATAATCATCATCATATGAGTACGTATGTACAACATACTACTCTAATTTTTGGCGCTGTTTTCAAAACAGAAACAAAAAAGAAGAGGAAATTCAAGACTAGTGGCGGTGGGCAAAAATGCAATAGAGGAAAATATTAATAATAATAATAATAGATGAAGAGAAAATCATAATTTATAAAATTAGCCAACCGAAAGACAAATTTTATATTATTATCGTTATTATAATTTACTGGATATGTGATTCAGTTTGTGTTTTATATCAGCAATGTGTTGTTGTTTTTTCTCTCAATTGAGCGCAATTAATCAAACAAGGCCAGTTGTCAAGGGAACTACCAAGTTAACATACTTACGTGTTATGTGAATTAGCGAACTGTTGGTGTTGTTGCTAGTGCTGTTGGTTTTGTTGTTGCTGTTGTTGTAAGGCGGCGGCGAGATACGTTTGAGCTTGGACAGCAGCAACCGCCAACTGTTGCTGCTGTTGTTGTTGCTGGCGTAATGCCAGAACAGATGCCAAACTATTATTGGGCTATTACCGCTCTGCTGTTGGTGTTGTTGTTGTTGCTGGAGTAAGGCAGCAGCTTGAAGTACAGCCAGGAACTGAGCTTGCTGGTGTTGTTGTTGTTGCTGGTGCTGATGTTGTTGGTGTTGTTGTTGTAAAGCTGCAAGAGCCAGCAGTTGTTGGTGTTGTTGTTGAACCTGCTGGTGTTGTTGAAGAACAGCACTCAAACTATTCACAGCAGGATTATTATTCATTGCCAATTCTTGCAAGGAGGTTATTCGTGTAGTTGTCGGTTGTAGATTTGATGCTGATGATATCCATGAATTGGTTAATGATGAAAGTATAGGATTAGTTGGTGATAAAGACTGTTGACTACCTAAGCTATTACCGCCTTCTATAGTATTTTGTGTTGCCGTTGTCAACTGAGTAGTGTTCACTTGTTGTTGTTGGTGCTGTTGTTGAATATGTGCTAATCGATTTATCGCTAATATTTGTTCAAGCAGTAAAGGATGATTCATCATTGAAGCCAGTTGTTGTTGTTGTTGCTGTTGTAAAGCATTCGATGAACCAGTACTGAAATTCAACTGACATGGATCCGTGAGTAAATTTGTTAAATCTGTGCCAATTTGATGCTCCATTGGTTTGTTCAGCGGTGATGAAAAAACTGAAGGGACAATTTCAGTGGTAAATGATGGCATAGAGTTACGCAGAGCACCAGTTGTTAGTGTTTCAGTGGTAAGTTTAGCAATTATATTATTATTATTATTACCATTCTGTACAATGTTATTTTGACTAGTTCTATTCGATATATTATCATTTGTGTAAGTCGTGTTGGCGGATAGTGTTGAAACAGTTTCACTGTTTGAGCAGCATTGATCACTGTCCAAGTCACTCGACTGTATACATGCACCTCCTCTATCTCTTGTCAAAGTGTCGACAACAGTATTGCTGACATTTGAAAGATCCTGTTTTACAGAGCATTCAATAGGATTGGAAGAAATAGAGGACTGTGTGGAACAGACAGTATAAGCATCACTTGATGATGAGAAGGATACAGACGACAATTCGTTAGACTCGCCATTTATAATAACACAAGAAGTATCAGATAATTTTGATCGTTTTGCTGGTGAACTGCCATTATTTGCTGAATGATGATCAGGATTGAAATTTATACGACATATGGCTACAGCAGAACAGAAAAAAAAGATACAGTTACACAATTAGCCACATGAAAAAAACATCTGACAAACTGAATGTCAAGAGTGAATGTAACTTCGTCACTAAGAGCGAATTTAAACCCTACGCTATCAACAGCCTCTAGCCAACAATTCTATGAGTGGATGGAAGATTTCAACATGAGGTGACATCAGTTAGAGAACCACTGGACAACTGTTTCGTCAGCTTAGTTTAGGACTCTTCATCAGTACGCACCCACATCGCGGGGTTTGAACCCCATTCAATCAAACTAAATCCCTAAAAAACCAATACTTGAAAATTAATCTAATGCTCACTAGCGACTGGCCCTATTCAGGCAGTCAAACGGGGTTCTAGTGGGAAGCCGTGACCAGTAGGGTACAGCAGGTTGAAGATGAGGCAGTAACTCATCGAAGAAAACATTGCGAAATGGTCGCGCTATGTCAGGAATTAGCAGAAGTTAGAATTCATGGGCTGGTCATTGGATCCGGTCATAGTGGCTAAATGGTCTACAAGCTAGTTTGCCATGTAACCAGAAGGTCCTGGGTTCGAACCATGGCAGTGAGGTGGGTGCGTACTGATGAAGAGCCCCAAACTAAGCTGAAGAAACAGCTAACTGTCTGGCAGTACTCCTTGGCAGGTTTTCCAATGGTTCTCTAACTGATGCCATCTCATGATGAAATCTTCCATGCAATCAAACAAAATCCCTACAAAAACCAATACTTGAAAAAGAGTCATTTTTTAGTGCACGCAATGAACACTTGTTTACAATTTATCAGTAGACTTGCTGATACCGTCGATCAGGATTACAGCTAATTAGTACAAATTAAAGTTCTACAGAGATTGACATACATTTGTTGTACATCACAATTAGGCGGTTACTTTTGACAAGCATGAAAATCCCGAACACATTAAAAGAAAGATTCTATGATATTCGAAAATGGAGAGGGCGATTTCTTAGTGTACCTTCTATAAATGACCAAAGCTTTGTAACACCTATCCAGAGCGGAATACAACACAGCTAGTTTGCTGGTCATTATTAGAGAGAAACACACCTGACTGCAATCACAACCCCTATTCGCCAACAGTGGGACTGCTCCTTCAAACACACACATACACCCACCAATATAGTATAGGCAACTTAAACCACAATGACAACTGCTATCAGTCTAACCACTACTCAGTCGACTTTTCTAGCACGACAGGATCTGCAGTCAGCATAGCTCTCCGGATTATTTCCATCACTTATACAGTTGGAGCTAGTGATATTACTATGTAGCCTGAGCTGAACTGGTTGTCTACACAGTCGTACCTTAGACCTAAGTGAAAGTGAAGTAACTGTGAACAATCTCATTTGATGAAGATTCCTGACCAACAGCAACAGCAACAACAACAGACAACAATCAGCCAGCAGAAATGGGAAGAACCTGAAAGAAGCAACCTCCTTTACCTATCTACCTGGGAAGCAGGCGGAAATAACGAGAATATCAAAGCAAGACAAGCTTTCAGTACTCTCAAGTCTGTGTGAAGGTCAACAGCACTACTACTCAGCAAGAAAAATAAAATCCGGATTTTCAACTCCAATATGAAGTCAGTCAGTGCTACTATACGGATCAGAGACTTGGCGTCACGTCATGAAGAGCACCTCAAACAAACTACAGATCTTCATTAACAGCTGCCTTCGCTCACTACTGAAGATCAGATAGCCAGAAAAGATCAGCAACAGGGATCTCTCGGAGCGAACCAACCCAGCAGGAACCGACTGTGCAACAAATAAGCAGGAAGAAATGGAGGTAGATTGAAGGCATACTGAGAAAACCATCAAGTGACATCAAAAGGCAGGCCATAGCTCGAGTGGAACCCGAAAGGGAAACGGCGAGTTGGTCGTCAGTGTAAGGGTAATTTGGAGGAGGTCATGTGAAGAGGAGATGGGCAGACGTGGAGCCAGGTGAAAACTCTAGCACAGAACCGAGCGCAATGGAGACGCGCATGACTGAAGCCCTATGTTCCTCTAGGAATTAAACGAAATAATAATAATAATAATAATAATAATAATAAATGAACAGGGATTTGAACTTGTGGCATACTTCTGAATAAAATTTGAGTACAAATATCAACAAGCCACAATATCACTGTGATTATTAGAAATTGTAAACATTAAAAAGAGACGAACGATTTCATGAATCGATATAAATGAAAAGTGTACAAATAAACTTACAGGATGTCTTCTCCGGCGATGAGTTATGTACACTATTTGAAATAGTAGTAGATGATTTACTTGGAGAGTGAGTAGTGTTCAGTCGACTTACAGTACTATTATCATCATCATCATCTTGTTTAGCATTATTCTTTAAAGCAGATACTTGTAAACTATGCACAAACTTTATTGTATCTGTAAGTGAATGTATGGTAGCATTATTGTTATTATTATTATTATTTGTTGGAGTAAATATAAACTGAGTTGCAATCATTTCTTTAACGTTTGGATTATTCAAACACTCTGATGGATATTTCGCTGATAAATAGGCATACACATCATCAACATTGTGCATATGAATACCATCAGACCTGTGTGCGGGATAGAGAAAAAGACAAAAGAAGAATAAAACAAACAAAATAACAGCACGAGAGAAAAGCTTGCCTATTTAGCATGTTGACAAAAAAATAATAAAATAATTCCAATCCTAAATACTGTTTTACTTTTCCTGCCTGCTGCCGAATTGCGCTTTGTGTATCTTCAAAACCACCCTCTTTTGCGTTCAAGGAGAAAAAGATAAAACTGCTTAATTTCGCCTCTACCATGTGTATTTTTACCAGTTTAACTGCTCCTGTGGAGTGAGCATAGGCTGTACAATTATTTAGGCGTGTTTCTCGCCGAATTTCCGAACATCACCCTGCATTGTGGTTAAGGCAAAGGACAAACCAAAACTATTCACATAGCGCTATTCTATCTCACTTATCTTGTGGATGGATACACAGAACACAACATTGATGTCAACGAGACAGCTTTCAAAGTCATTTACCGCATACCAACCAACAAATCTCAATTTCGCCATAAGAGTCCGACTACTAAATATTGCTGCGGCTGTTGGGATTCATATTAACAAGCCTAATTTGTGTGTTCAAAAAAAGCTAGTTCAGACATTATCATTACCTTGGCCATCTAGGTTTGAATGGTCATGAATTTTTGCGGAATTTTCCTAATTTTAGTTGATATTCTATTTACTATTAAATTATTATTATTATTATAATTATTTTATAAATTTATAGTAATTATTAGACTAAGTGGTGCTCTGGAGGCACAAACACGAGAGACCCAGACAGGCTTTAAACCAGGAAGAGGGGTGTAATGATCATATATTCACCCTTCAACAGATTCTAGAACATAGGAATTCCTACCGGTGTCCAACAGTCATTATATTTCTTGACCTAAAGGCAGCATTCGACTCTGTCGATCGGGAAGTTCTCTGGAGATGCTTGGCTGTAAAGGGAATGCCGAGAAAATACATTCCACTGATTAAGGAACTCTACTCGTACTCATACAGCCAGGCGAGGGCTTACGGCGAGCTGTCATCTGAACTGGTGACGACTAGTGGTGTCCGTCAAGGATGCCCATTATCCCCTTTTCTATTCAACTTCATCATAGATGTGTTAATGGACTTAACCCTAGGTGACTTCAGTGACTCAGGAATTGACTTGCTACCAGGGAATAATCTCGTTGACTTAGAATATGCAGACGATATAGTCCTTCTAGGCGCTGAAAAAATGCAGAGTCTTCTAAACACCTTCAGCTGCAATCTACGAATGTTTGGCATGCGATTCGCTCCCGCCAAATGCAAGATGATGTTACACGACTGGACTACACTGACTCCTAGATTAGAAATAGCGAGTGAAGTGGTAGAGCACGTTGACCGCTTCACCTATTTGGGAAGTACCATCAACCAACGCCAACGGGTTGATCTCTGACGAAATCTCAGCACGGATACAGGGGGCTCGTTTCGCATTTGCCAGTTTACGCCGGCTTTGGCGTATATGAGATATCGGACTATCGACCAAAGGTCGTATGTACTGCTCATCAGTCCGCTCCGTCCTCCTGTATGGCTGTGAGTGACACCTAGACATGAAAAGGCCAGCTAACTGTCTTTGATCATAGGTGTCTGTGTTTTATCTCGTATTAAGTGGAAATAACAGGATGAGTAGCAGTGAGGCTAGCCGTCGAGTATTAGGTAAGGAGGGAAAATCAACCGACGAGGTGGTTGTCAAGTTACACCGATTGAGAGAGTTTGTTAGGACATATGTTACGCATGCCTAGCCCAGTCATCAGCTTCCTCGACAAAGGGTAATGTTAGCTGACATTGGATGGATCAGATTGGAGAAGAACCAATGGTGGTCAAACGTAAACACGGTTTCATCAGTCAATCAATGTAATCCACAACAGTTAGTTTAAGCCGTGTAGAGAGGGAGATGCAGACTTCCTGGTTGGAGTTCTCGATATTATAAGAACCAATGAAGGCTGGAAACAATTGGTGATATGACTCAAAAACGTTCTCAATGACAGTGCAGATGCATTCACTCTTTGTGGCTTGTCATATCCAACTTTAAACATCTGTGCAAAGTTTCATGTTGAAACTAGTGCATACATTCGAAACTACTGTTAAAGATTAATTAGACGACCGGAATATTGGAGGCAATAAAATTACTCAGCTAAAGTCATGATTAAAGTTATGTGATTAGATGGTGCTAGAAGGGACAACAATAAGACAGTCAGCACTCTGTACTAACAAAATGAAATGAACTACACAGGAGTAATATCTTTTTTGAAATATCCGTTGACTTTAAAGGTTGCAGAAAGAGTTTCATCAAAGCTGACTTAAACTTTGAACATAATGAAGTTAACACATTCAAAATGTTCATCAGGAACAGTGAGTATGCCTCTAAGTTCTTTTAAGAGAGTTTATTAATAGTCTCTCTGTCTGTCTGTTTTTCGACATAGAACTTTGCACATATGTGCACCAGTTCAAGTCGCCACACTCCCTCCATGTACCACACAAAGCAAGAGAAGAAAGTACAAGAAATGCATAATAGAGACAGTAAACAGAGGTGGGAGACAAAGGAAGAGTAATAACCAAGAACAAAACAGTTTCATTGGAAATCATAAATCACAAGGAGTGAATGCATCTGCGTGCCAGCCATTGAGAACGATTTTCAGCCACATCATCAATTGTCTCCAACCATAGATTTTTACCGTCCCGAGGACCCCAACCAGTCAGGAAGTCTACATCTTCCCACGTGACTGACTTAAACTAACTGTTGTAGATTTCATTGACTGGTGCCATGTTTTGGTTTGACCGCCGCTGGCTCTTTTCCAGCCTGACCCTATATCGGCTAACATCGCTCGTTGAGGAAGGCGATGACTAGGTATACGTAACACATGTCCTAACCATCTGAGTCGATGTAATTTCACAGCCTCGTTGATTGATTTCCCCTCCTTACCTAGCACTCACCTAGCCTCAATTAAGTTGAGATCCTGTGTCTATGAACTTTCTCTTTCCAGGGAAAAAATAGACTCGTTTTACTTACCAATCAATATCTTTATTTTATTTGTCTAATTCACCCCACATGTGGGGATAAGGAATCAGTAACTGATAAAATTGGGTGTGTGTTATGATACATAAAAACTTATGCTTGTTTCGCACTTGTGCGAATCACCGACCCACACACATATACGCACTAGCTATTGCTTTAACTTCTAAGTGAAAGCTTGAGAAGTAAAGCCTTTAAGTAAATCAACCTAAAATAGGACATTTTGTAGTGAGAGCAGGCTGCTAGCCAAATTGATAGACACTAATTTACGTCAATGTTTATGTCCCAAATATTGGTCGTGAGAAAATATGAACAAAGACTGATTCAACAACCAACCACAGCACTGTCTGTCTGTCTGTTTTCGACATAGAACTTTGCACAAATGTGCGGAAGTTCAAGTCGCCACATTCCGTGTAGCACGCGAAGCAAGAGAAGAAAGTACAAGAAAAGCATAATAGAAACAGTGAGCAGAGGTGTGAGACAAAGGAGTAATAAAGAAATACAAAACAGTTTCATTGAAGATCATAAGTCACAGGGAGTGGATGCATCTGCGCCACTGAGAACGATTTTGAGCCATGTCACCAATTGTTTCCAACCATAGATTTTTACCGTCCCGAGGACCCCAGCCTGGAAGTCTACACCTTTCTACGTGGCTTAGACCAACTGTTGTGGATTTCATTGACTGATGCCAAGTTTTTGTTTGACCGCCGCTAGCTTTTTTCCAGCCTGACCCTATATCCGCTAACATTGCTCGTCGAGGGAGGCGATGGCTTGGCATACGTAACACATGTCCTAACCATCTCAGTCTTTGTAGCTTCACGACTTCGTCGATTGATTTCCCCTGTTTACCTAGAACTCTACGCCTAACCTCCATGTTGCTCACCTTATTATGCCACTTTACACGGGAAATAGAACGCAGGCACCTATGATCAAAGACAGCTAGTCTTTTCATGTCTTCCACTCTCAGTGGCCAGGTCTCACAACCATAAAGGAGGACGGAGCGGACTGATGAGCAGTACACCCGCCCTTTGGTCGATAGTCGAACATCTCGTCTACGCCAGAGTCGGCGTAAACTAAACGAGCCCCTTGTATTCGTGCTGAGATTTCGTCAGAGATCAGCCCGTTGGGGCTGATGGTACTTCCCAAATAAGTGAAGCGGTCAACGTGCTCTACCACTTCACTTCCTATTTTTAAACTAGGCGTCGATGTAGTCCAGTCCTGTAACATCATCTTGCATTTGGCGGGAGCGAATCGCATGCCAAACATTCGTAGATTGCGGCTCAAGGTGTTTAGAAGACTCTGCATTTCGTCAGCGTCGCCTAGAAGGACTATATCGTCTGCATATTCCAAGTCAACGAGATTATTCCCCGGTAGCAAGTCAATCCCTGAGTCGCTGAAGTCACCTAGGGTTAAGTCCATTAACACATCTATGATGAAGTTGAATAGAAAAGGAGATAATGGGCATCCTTGACGGACACCACTGGTCGTCATCAGTTCAGATGACAGCTCGCCGTAAGCCCTCACCTGGCTGTATGAGTACGAGTAGAGTGCCTTAATCAGTGCAATATATTTTCTTGGAATTCCCTTTACAGCCAAGCATCTCCAGAGAACTTCCCGATCGACAGAGTCGAATGCTGCCTTTAGGTCAAGAAATATAATGACTGTTGGACGCCGGTAGGAATGCCTATGTTCTAGAATCTGTCGGAGGGTGAAGATATGATCAATACACCCTCTTCCTGGTCTAAAGCCTGCCTGGCTCTCTCGTGTTTGTGCTTCCCGAGCACCACTCAGTCTACGCATGATTATTGAGCCTAAGACTTTAGATACTATATTAGTCAAGCTAATCCCTCTGTGATTATCACAGGAAGACTTGTCTCCCTTCTTGTATATGGGGATAATCAGTGACTTACACCAACCCGATGGGACTTCTTCTGATTCCCAGACGCTGCCTAGTACCTCAGTTAATCCGGACAGTAAGCTGTCTCCACCGTACTTAAATACCTCTGGAGTCATTCCATCAGGTCCCGCTGCTTTGCCTAGTTTCAGATTGGTGACAGCTTTAGTAACCTCAGTTAGTGACGGAGGACCTGTGTTTATATCCCATTCAGGGAGGTGTTGGATGCTCGGAAGGTTGAGCGTGGCTGTGGGCAAATTAAACTGCTCCTCATAATGCTCTTTCCAACGATCCAGTCGTCTATCCTGGAGCTAATTATAGTGCCATTTTTTTCCGAGATTGTCTCACTGATGATTTGTCTTCTCCCACCCGTTTCCCTGATGAGTCCAAAGAGTTGCCTGGTGTTGCCTATCCTCGAAGCTTTCTCCATCTCTTTGGCTTTTGTCGCCCACCACTGTTCACGGTCCTTGCGGAGACTTTTCGTAAGTTTCCTCTTGTGCAGCTTTCGCTCCTCATTGAATTCGGAGCTCGCCGGAATAAGTCTTCTAGCATCTATCAGTTCGGATGAGGCGGTGGAGATCCAGTGGTTTTTACTCACCTTTGGGTTTACCTTATTCACAGCTTTTACAGCTGTATCTATGGCTGCCTGGATATTTTTCCAAGCTTCTTCAGGGTGAGCACAGCTGTCGAACACAGATATGTGTTTAGCTAGTTCTTCCTGAAATACGGATTTAGTTTCCTGATCGAGCTGGGGACGTGATGGTTTTACCGCCAGCTGTTTCCTACGTCCGTTCAGTCGTAAGCACACCCGAGCGCGGACCAGTGCATGGTCGGTATCTACGCACGTGTTCCAGAAGGAGCGACAATCTCCTACCGACCCACGCCAACCACAGCACACTGCGTAGGCGGATACAATTAGTATATAGGTGATCTGACATTCAGGAAATAGCCATAAAAGAGATGCAAGGTTAACTTTCTGTGAGAAACAACCAATCAGAAGAGTGTGTTTGTTTGCTTAAATCATCTATAATAATGTAGATGAAAATATATAAATACGTGTTGATTTCCTTAATAAACGATCGGTTGCCTGGACCTTGTCTTCTGTTATTACAATTTTATCGAATCTCAAACATTTCTTTAGTGTGACAGCGGTTTTCTCCTGGCCTAGGGTACTGCTTAAAATAATACTTTAGAGACAATTTAACAATTAAGGGCAATTATTTAATAAGTATTTTGATGAATACTGACACAGGTTCCAACATAGAACTTTGCACAGATTGCACCAGTTCAATTCGCCACACTCCCTGCATGTAGCACACAAAGCAAGAGAAAAAAGTAAACAGAAATGCAAAATAGAGATAGTAAACAGAGACATGAGACAAAACGAAAGGTAATGTGGAAGAACATTCTAGTTCTACTGAGTGTTATAAGTCACAAGGAGTGGATGCGTCTGCGTGCCAGCCATTGAGAACGATGAGTTTGAGCCATATCACCGATTGTCTCCACCCGTTACTGGTTTTTACCGTCCCAAGGACACGAACCAGTCAGGAAGTCTACATCTCCCTACGTGACCAGCTGGTTTAAACAAACTGTTGTGGATTTCACTGACTGACCAAGCCATGTTTTGGTTTGACCACCACTAGCTTTTTTTCAACCCGATCCATCCTATGTCAGCTGACACTGCCCGTCAGCGGAGGGAGGCGATGGCTACGGGTGCATACGTAACATATGTCCTAACTATCTGAATCTATGCAGCTGCTTCCCAGCCTCGTCGATTGATTTCCTCTTCTTACCTAGCACTCGACCGAAGCCTGTCCTCAATATCGCTCACCCTACTATACCACTTCACCTGGAGATAGAACACGGGCACCTATGATCAAAGACAGCTAGTCTTTTCATGTCCTCCACTCACAATGGCCAGGTCTCACTGACAGCCACAGAGGAGGACGGAGCGGACTGCTGATGAATAACGAAGTGTGAAAATATGGTCACTTCTTTAGACAACATCTCATCAATTAATATTCATAAAACTTACGATATATACACAACAGTATTAGCTTTCCGATCAACTTTACGAGTCCAGCCTTTATGTGACTCCACAGAATTTGTCTCCGATGGAATAAAAGATGTTGTCGTTGACGGTAATAACGCTAAACTGGCCAGCGATGTAGCATAATTGAAATTTGATCTATTGTTCCCCGTAGAGGTGGTTGTTGTTGTGGTGGAGGTGGTGAGTAATGTAGACGTAGTTGTCAAATGATTTACAGTTCGAGACCGCTTGGATGAATGCCGCGATCGACTGTTACAACACGTTGTTGCTAAATACGCCTCAGCAGCTCTTGAAATCGGTTGATGACAGGCTAGTGCGGCGGCATGCGCTGCAGCAGCATATGAGGCTACAATTCGATCTGGTGGACTTTCTTCTTTAGCTTTTGTACTAATGGTCTCTTGATTGGCCTGGAAATAAAAAAAACATAGAGAAAAAGCAGGAAAAGGTTAGAAATTGAAGTAGAATTTCAGCAATTAACTCGATGAACAGACAAATTAAGCGAGCAAAGCACGAAGCGCGAACATTGTGTGTGTGCTAAGATAAGATACTGGTATCATAATCGGCGCAAAACGATAGAGAGAAAAACGTAGATATATATACATGTATGTATGTATGTACGTATGTTTGTATGTATGTATATACAAGGACAAAGTCACCACAAAAAAGTGCAAATGCAAGTGCTACGTAAATAAACACGTATGTATGAGACAGAGAAACAAAAAATAAGGAAGGTTACAGACGAACACACACGCACACGCACACACACACATCAACGCAACCATCATTACAGTTATAAATAAACATGACAAACATTGGCTAAATCGATTTTTTACGGTACTCTCTCACACTCTCTTTCTCTCTTTTCTAAGGAGTTGACGAGAGAGCTACCATAAAATCAACCAATTAAAAAAGAAGAAGAAAAAGACGAAGTAGAGGCCAAACAATAAGGTGACCATTCATTCACACATATTTTTTTTAAAAAAATTAAAAGTTACAGCACAAAAAAACCCGAAAAACAAAGAACAAAATCAAATTGTGAGTGCTAGATATTTTTATTACAGTTGATTACCATTAACCAGTGGACAGAGAACGAGACAGAGAGAGAGGCGTAGGGTTGGAGCGTTTTTTTTTGAGTATGGCTCACATCACATAGCCCGGCTGAACTGAAATAAGCGCAAGAAAGCAATAAAAAAAGAGCACCCCGAAACAAATAATAGTAATAATAATAATAATAATCATAATAAAGAAATTATAACACTATCAAAACAACAAGACAATGATTTAACAAAACGACAGCAGTGAACTTAAGAGAGAGATGCAATGCATACACACAGCTAGGATTGCATAATCCTATTTCCATACTGTGAAAGTTGACCCAATTATGCAAATATTACTCACAAGGCTAAACTATGTATGTATATACGTATATTTACATAATTGGGTGCGGAATTCGAAAACAAATTGAACTAAAGGTCTAGAATGGAAGTGCAAAGCTAAGCCATTCATAAATAGGCAGGTAGGTAAGAGAGTGACAAAGTAACACTCACACACATACACACACACACACACCTTGAGCTGCAGTCTACGAATGTTTGGCATGCGATTCACCCCCGCCAAATGCAAGATGATGTTACACGACTGGACTACACTGACTCCTAGATTAGAAATAGGGAGTGAAGTGGTAGAGCACGTTGACCGCTTCACCTATTTGGGAAGTACCATCAACCAACGCCAACGGGTTGATCTCTGACGAAATCTCAGCACGGATACAGGGGGCTCGTCTCGCATTTGCCAGTTTACGCCGTCTCTGGAGTAGACGAAATATCCGACTATCGACCAATGATGGCTGGAAACAATTGGTGATATGGCTGAAAATCGTTCTCAATGGCTGGCACGCAGATGCATTCCCTCCTTGTGACTTATGATTTCCAATGAAACTGTTTTGTTCTTGGTTATTACTCTTCCTTTGTCTCACACCTCTGTTTACTGTCTCTATTATGCATTTCTTGTACTTTCTTCTCTTGCTTTGTGTGGTACATGGAGGGAGTGTGGCGACTTGAACTGGTGCACATATGTGCAAAGTTCTATGTCGAAAACAGACAGACAGACACACACACACACAACACAACGAATAGCAAGCTATCTTTGTTAATGACAACACTATCCAATCAGTAACTCAGGGAATAATACACACATATATTCTCACTACATTTGGTTAGGAGGCATTACACAACAAAATTGACACATGTTACTTCTTTACAGGAAAGACAACAGACTGTTAGTCATCTGAATGTTACAGAGAGACATTAGTGAAAAATATACAGTGGCATAGCAGAGGTGTATATAAAAATCAGAACAGGCAAAGGTAGAATTGTGCGACCGACAAAAAAGGGTGACTGACTCCTCTTATACTGAGATGGGTCAAATCATCAATTCAATAATATAGGTGTAAGCAAATCATACTCTCTCCTGATTAACACGATAATTGGATCTCCTCCATGATATATACATATTTTTTAGATAGTGATTTCACTTACTACTTTAATTATACATCTCACAGTCGGAAAGTTAACTATTACTACTACTAATAGATAAGCTCGCCTACCTGCCTGAATTTAATTAATATTAAAGCAAAGCGCCTATAAGGAAAAAAGTAACCAAACAATTGTATAACAGTAATAACTTCGACTTTCAATCCCTCATCAATACGGTATTTAAAGTCTTAGGCTCAATAATCATGCGTAGACTAAGCAATCCACGAGAGGAACAAACACGAGAGAAGCAGGTAGGCTTTAGACCAGGAAGAGGGTGTATTGATCATATCTTCAGCCTTCGACAGATTCTGTAACATAGGCATACTTACCGTTGGCGTTCAACAATCAGCATATTTCTTGACCTAAAGGTGGCATTCAATTCTGTCGACCGAGAGGAACTATGGCGATGTTTGGTTGTGAAGGGAATTCCGAGAAAATACATCGCACTCATTAAGGCACTCACTCTACTCGAACTCATGCAGCCAGCCAGGTGAGGGCTTATGACAAGTCGTCATCTGACGTGGTGATAACTAGCGGTGTCTGTCAGGCATGACAACTCACTATCCCCATTTCTATTGAATTTCATCATAGATGTACTAATGGGCTCAACCCTAACTCACTTCAGAGACTCAGGGATCGACTTGTTACCACTAGGTAATAATCTCGTTGACTTAGAATATGCAGATGACATAGCCCTTCTAGGTGAAGACGCTGACAAAATGCAGTCTTCTGAACATCTTGAGCTGCAATCATCGAATATTTAGCATGTGCTTCACTCCGGCCAAATGTGAGATGGATGTTACAGGAACTGGACTACATCAACTGGCAGCTTAAAGACAGGAAAAGAAGCGGTTCGTGTTGGCCACTTCACTTATTTGGGAAGTTGCATCAGCCGATGCCAGCGGGTTGATCGCTCACGAGACCCCGGCAGGAATACACAAGGCTCGTTTGGCACATGACAACTTACACCATCTCTAGCGTAGACGTGATATCCGACTGACTGTCGACCAAAGGTTGTAGTACTACTCAGCAGTCCGCTCCGTCCTCCTGTATGGCTGCGAGACCTGGTCGTTGAGAATGGAAGACATGAAAAGGTCAGCTAGTTGTCTTTGATCATAGGTGTCCGTGTTCTATCTCCAGGTGAAGTGGAATAGTAATGTGAGCAATATTGAGGTTAGGCATTGGTTGAGTGCTAGGTAAGGAGGGAGGAGAAGTCAATAGACGAGGCTGTGAAGTAACATCTGTTAAGATGGTCAGGAGATGTGTTACGCATTCCTAGCCTAGCCATCACCTTTCTCGACAAAGGGCAATGTTAACTGGAGCCAGTAGTGGTCAAACGAAAACATGGCTTCATCAGTCAGTGGAATCCACAACAGTTAGTCTAAGGTAGCCACGTAGGAAGGTGTAAACTTCCCGACTGACTGGGATCCTTGGGACGGTAAAAACCAGTGACGGCTGGAGACAATCGGTGATATGGCTCAAACTCATCGTTCTCAATGGCTGATGCAGATGCATTCACTCCTTGTGACTTATAATTCCCAATAAAATTATATTGTTCTTCGATATTACTATTCATTTTGCCTCATATCTCTGTTTACTGTCTCTATTTTGCGTTTCTTTTCACTTTCTTCTCTTGCTCTGTGTTTTACAAGGAGGGAGTGTGGCGACTCGAACTGCTGCACATCCGTGCAAAGTTCTATTTTCAAACCAGTCAGTCAGTCATACAGCATGCATCCATAGCGCTAGATGGGAAAGATTTTAACTAGAGAAGCTTGTTGTTCGTTTCGATGTAAGGTCTGTACGTTGAAAGCTCTAATATGAGAATGGTAGCAGGGTTTTAAAAGACTAGGAGCAATGATTTTGTAAATCAGGTCACAGCTAGTAGTCGGAGTTAAGAGGTGAAGAACCTGTCTGTGGAATAGTATCAGCAATAGCAGAGAAGGCATAAAGACGAAGATAGGTAATAAACATTCTGGCTACGCACACAATGGATATTGATTTCTCTATGCAACATTTGAAACAGAAGGATCATAAGCCTTGTACAACCGCATAGCCCAAGGGACAGCTACTAGACAGCAGTCACCTACGGCCGGCTTGAAAACCTCATCACCGGCTACGGACCGCTTGTTGCTTGGATGTTCGAGAGAGGAAATCACCTTTCTACTGTCACCCCACTATCCGTCAGCAGTACGACTACATTCTCAGAACCACAAAATAGAGAAGAGAGCTTATACAATGAGGTAACATTTTAGTTTCACCACTGTCAAAACCAGAACAAGCAATAAATTCAAATTCAGGTGTTTCTCCCTGGATAACTGCGACATGTTAGCTCAACCACGGATAAATGATATCTTCACGTTAGCTATCGAGGATGGTGAGTGATGGCTGTAACGTAGAGAAAGACTACATAATTCTGAATACTTATTAAGCACCCTACTGAGCCCATGATTGGCAGGACAGAAATCGTAAATAGTATTAAACGCTTCCACAGGAAAATAGAGGACAACACATTGAAGCGAACAGTATTCTTTTCAGTTAGACCTCATCAGGCTTAACTCTAATACACATTACTCTGCAAATAAATATTCAAATATAAACCAATCAGGTTGTTTTGTCAACTGGATATTTATTTTTTTATTTTTTATTTTTGGTAACAGCTTGATTCCACACTGTATTTTTGGTACAAGTATGGAATTTTCAGCGTGGATATCGGTAGCCCAAATTTCGCAGGCCGACCATAGATATCTGGTGTGCGCCGGTGTGGGCTCGAACCCCGGACCATGTGCATGGTCGTCGAGAGTCCTAACCGTTGTGCCACCGACGCACACGATATCAAGATTGTGCATATAAATTGTGCAATCAGTCATATTAATAATAATAGTGCGATCAATAACAAGGATGAAAAAAGTGCAGCGATCTGTGATAACAAGAATAACGAAAAACAATATGATTAAACAAACAATTGTGTTCAGGTAGACATAGTAGCCGATAAGGGCTAAGAAAAACAAATGAACCGATTAGGTAGTGCTAGATTGTAAGCGAAGTGACTAATTAACTAACTTTATGACCATAGTCATTAAATTTGGGACCCGGAGATAATACCTTCAGTTGAAGCTGATTAAGCACAACCCTGGAAAGTTACTCAAACGTCTGACCTTATTCCATGATTGGACGATGAATTAATTAGGATCAAGACTACTTCTAGTTGACAGCTGCCAACAATACAAAAATAATAGGCATTCAGTAAATAGTCTGTTATCTAAACAACACAGAGAAGCTCTAAGAGAACTTAGAAGTAATGGAAGCTTAATTGTTAGCAAGCCAGATAAAGGTGATGGTGTATTTTTACTGGATAAAAGCCATTATGCTGAGAAAATGGAAGGTATCTTGGGTGATCACACTACATTCTAATCTCTTGGTAGTTCCGAAGACCTCAATGTAGTAAAAGCGAAGAAACTGATGACCGACTCTCTCAAAAAACTGAACCAAAAAGGAGTATTACCATCAGCTATGTATGAGTCTATGAAACCAACTGGTACCAACACTCCACATCTTTACGGTCTACCCAAATTGCACAAACTGAGTCTTCGTGTCCACCCAGTTTTAGATATGTATAACTCGGCATTTCACGAAACAACAAAGTGGTTAGTAAAGATTCTAGGACCTTGGCACAAAGAAATTGTCCAACGGAATTTGTGAAGTCTTCGACTTTATTTCAAGAATATCCGAGACTAATGTCAGGTATAAACGCATGTTATCCATGGACTTGTCATCACTATTCACTGATGTACCGCTTATGGAGACAGTAGATTATATTTGTGAAGAAATCAACGAAAGACAATTGGACTTAGGAATCCCCTTCTGTAGGTTCAAAGAATTACTTCTTAAATGCACAATGAATGTTCACTTTGTCTTCAATAATTCATACTATCGACAAGTAGATGGAATAGCTATGGGTTCACCATTAGGCCCAATATTAGCTGATTTCTTCCTCGCAAAACTTGAAAACGGGAAAATGAAAGACATCATCAAGGAATTGGATATGTGTTTCCGTTATTTCGACGACACATTTATCTTAGTTGATGGTAATGCAAACGTAGACGAATTGTTGATGAAATACAACAAGCTCCACCCTTCGCTAACTTTTAGTTGTGAAGAGGAGCAGGATAATAAACCACATTTTCTGGAAGTCTTGCTAAGTAAGTGAGATGAGTCACTTGCGAGAAGTGTCTACATAAAAAGCACATTCACAGGGCGGTACGCACAATTCTTTCCTTAGTTACGTGCCCATTAAATATAAAAGGAATATTGTTAAGTGTCTAACGAGCCAGCAGAGCAAGAAAGATATTTCCGGATGACCTCTTACAAAAGGAATTTGAATATATCAATTCCTTGACAGAGATGAGCTTTCCGATTAGTTTCGTAAAGACACATGAAAACATTGGAGAGAAAACCTGAGACGATGACTGAACACAAAACTCCTGTTTACCAAGTTACAATTTATTAGTGACTTGTCAATTGAGATTTTATTTCAGAGACTTTCTAGGAGTATCCGAAGAACGGTTTACGCAGCACACTTATGTTTGTCATTCTCTAGCCGACGAATGATTGTGACTCAAGCGAAGGATAAGCCAGATAGTTTTGCCACATCTATGTGCATTTATTAATTCAACTGCACCTGTGGTGACAGTTGTTTTGGGCGTACTACTAGACAGCCTAGTCAACGTGTTAGTGAACATCTCCCATTGTGGTTTGGCTAAGGACAAACTGTCACATTTAGTTGATAGTGGTCATGTAGTGGAGAAAATGAAAGCATTGGAGATAATTCATCGCATCCTAGAGAATCTTTCCAATAGACTTTGTATTTCTCTACTGCACAAAGCTGAGGCGATAGGCATTCGAACTGTTAAGCCTAAACTATGTATACAAAAGAAGTTCGTACAGCCATTATCCCCCTCTTTGCCTATTTTAAAACCTAACCAATTAATTGATGACTTCTCAACCACCCCTTACTCATATTTTGGAGCCCTCTCTTATCTTTCCTTAATCTTATCTTCACTATAAACGTGTTTCATTTACTTCCCTTACAATCTAGCATTACCTAATCGGTTCATTTGTTTTTCTTAGCCCTTATCGGCTACTATGTCTACCTGAACACAATTGTTTGTTTAATCATACTGTTTTTCATTATTCTTGTTATCACAGATCGCTGCACTTTTTTCATCCTTGTTATTGATCGCACTATTATTATTAATATGACTGATTGCACAATTTATATGCGCAATCTTAATATCCAATTGACAAAACAACCTGATTGGTTTATATTTGAATATTTATTTGCAGAGTAATGTGTATTAGAGTTAAGCCTGATGAGGTCTAATAGAAAACAATATTGTTCGCTTCAATGTGTTGTCCCTTATTTATCTATACTAACTAGGGTTCACTGTATTTCTACATGCACTTTCCAAGTTGAAAGCAATGTTGAAATATTGGGAGGAGTCTGATGCCATATTTGGCCTTTATGAGGAATAGTCAGTACTTTGGAATTTGGTGCGTCTAGACAGCTCTGTGATCGCCGGTGGTGTGACAATTGAAGTTTCTGATGGGACAACGAAAGCATGGGTTGCATTTGTGCAATCATTTTAACCACTGTGTCACGCGTTACTGGATCGAGCTACACCTATTGGGATTCTCGCAGCCAAGTGGCCTCATTACTCCTTAGACAATAGGCGTAGCTTATTGGTGGTAACTACATATGAGTGCCAGTGGCCGTATGGTGGAAGTGAGTGATGTGACATGAATTGTGAGATAATAATTTCTGAAAGTCAATGCAAATTAATAAATACATGACTTGGATAAACCTCTGAAGCAACCTAATACAATCAACCGCATAATAGTATTCAGAATGCTGATAACTAGGAAATAAGGATAGAGACATGCTAATAACTATTAACAGAAGCATAGAACGTCAGTTAAATAATTCTAAGCTTTTGAAGATCTAAGTGAGTTGTTAATTAGTAAATCGCTCAACACTCTGGGAATCCAGTATCACAATTAGTATCATTCGACATACTACAAGGTGAATTCTTTACGATCAAGGAAATCAGACCTAAGTGCAGTATCAACAAGCATAGGAGCAGCATGCTTGAATATTTTAGTATTTTATACATTGAATTCCGTGAAGAAACACAGAACAACTAAATACTAGAGAAAGTACTTATTCATATAACTTTTAAAGGTATAATAATGCAGTAACTCCGTTAAAAAACATTCACTTTTATGAAGCATGCTAATAAAAACGACAGACAAGTAGAAAACACCAAAGATGAGTATATCATACTTGCATTACTTGATTGGACAATAATAAAAAGGTAGAAGGTAATATAATTAAGGTATAGCTTAAGTGTTCTACACTCACACATTCACAACATGCATAGTAATCCTAAATAACACCAATTACACACTAAATATACAGTATTACTATTAAATATAAATGAATAAATAACTTTAGTTGATACATACATAGTTAGAAAACTAATGTTGCATATTTAACTGGTGAGAATTTCCTCAAGCAGAAATGACATAAGCTCAGTGTATATTATCCATTAGTTAAATAGATTTTCCTGAAATTCGGCCTTCAGGTCAAGAAATATATCAAGTGTCCCAGAGTCTGTCGAAAAGTGAATATTTTTTTTATCAGTGCGCCTTATTTCAGACCTGAAACCTGTTTAGTTTTGCTTAAGTTTTTGTTTCCCCCAGTTTTACTTAGTCATCAAAAGACTATGGAAACTGAAATCGTAGGCACTGTTAGTCAAGCTGATCCCCTGTGGTCATCGCAGAAAGATTTGTTTTCTTTCTTATGAACAGGGATCTTATAAAACGATCTTAGGTCCTCTTACACTCGGCAATACTTCAGTTAATCTAGCCTAAAATTTATTATTAACCTCAAAAACCTCTCGAATCGATCTATTAAGTCCTGATGCTTTAGATGTTTACTCTAGACTCAGTTTTTGTAGACCAACTGAACTGCTTCAGTATTTCTGAACTGCGGTCCTCCTCAGAGAACGTTTCAATTGTTATAGTTTGTTTAGAGGTTATTTCGTCTATAAGTATACGAGATTGACAGGTATTATCTATAGCTGATGCCTCTGCCTTCTACTCGGGTTACATTTCAGCAGCTTTTGCAAATTGTCAAGCCCAGATCCTGCCCGGGTCAGTCTCCCGGTGTGGATAATGTTACGGAAGCCTAGGGGTACTTACTAGCCTCTGGTTGCCAGTTTGGAATTGCAATTACTAATATATCTCTATTCTCAAACCCCTAACATAGTTCGTACTATCCGTGAACGTCAATGTCCTCAGCGTTTAAAAAGAAATGAATTTTTGGACACTTGTTTAATTTCAGTTTTTTCGTGTTACACATCACTTTGAATTGAACAACCCATCAATTCTGCATGCAGGAGGCCACGAACCATACTTATTACGTAAGTAAATGGGTAACAATACTGCCCTGGCCCTTCCGGCTGAAAATAAATTGCTTAAGTCAATGAGTTATTTCATTACTACGTACTAGTGTGTGCAACTCACAACTGCTTTTAGTCTATTGCAATATGCAAGTTGATGTAGCTTCGAGTGGATGAACGAGTCTGGTCTAATTATTGCACAGGTAACCTGAAGGGTGTCACATGCAGGATATAACTTGAAGTCATCTTGTCAAATATACGAATACAATGTGGTTTAACTTCTGAATGGAGGTTCCTTTAAAGAAGTGGACTGTTACTCAACAAAAAATGATTGGGAATTATTCCCTATAAGAAACTTTAAGTGAGACTGCATAACTGCATTGCAGAAAATCACTACTCTTGGGGTTTTACGGTTTGACCTTACTTAAGCTACTCGTCATCCAAATTAGATTGTTACTTCTCACTGACATAAAATCCATTGCATTAGGTTTCGGTGCTAAAACATTAAACAAAATAAACTAGTTTGAGAATTGTGAGGTGACAATGAAGCTAAATTTCTCTGGAGCTATGCAAAGTAACCTCAATAATTAATTTGACAGTAGAAGAAACAAAAATTAGTGACTCTGCACAAGGTAGGATGTTAAGAGATGTACGGTCTGTTGAATTTACCAGTTACGATCTGACTATTCCAAAAAGAGCGGTGTGGACATCACATAAATGACGCCGGAATAATCTAAGGGGATACCTCATGATCATATCTTACTTTTAAAGCATTGTGGGACTATGTTTACTCCACCCACATTTTAAAAAGGATGACTTTCTTGAGGAAAACGCCAGTAAGTGACTAATTAATGAAGACCCCGTTTCATTTAATCAACTATAGAATATACCAGTGTTAAGTCTTGAGATATGAAGAGTCAAGTTGTACTTCACCGCACTTCACTTTTCTAAGACAAGCTGATTCTGATAGGACGATAAATCTGTACTAAATGTTAATAAGAGAGCGGAAGAGTAATGAATCCTCAAATACTAGATCTTAAAACTGAGCTAAGACTTTTAAAACCGATATTCATATAATTGTGGAGACCACATTTTTAGATTCATAGTCATAAAAAGAAGAATCACTTACCGCGCTTTTATACAACACTGGGCCGCGAACAATAGTATGAGCAGCCGAATCGGGAGGCCCAGTATTATGAGAAGGAATGGATGATTGGTCTGTATGTCCTACAGCAGCATGATAGTACATAAGTGGGTTAAGGCATCCTGCAGACCCATAAGGAACAGATGGCAAAACACCAACTCCCAAATTTGCAACCGGGATTACGCTGGCTGCATTTATGATTGGCACGGCAAGACCCATACATAGATTCCTCATGGGGGATGGGTGTCCAGCGAAATGTAGACCAGACGGCTGGCCTGTAAGACTTTGAATATTCAGCCCATTCGCACTCAGTAGAGAAGCATTAAGAAGGTTTTGAGGGACAGAAAGCAGGTTCGCAAAACTGTCGACGCTCCCACTTGGAAATGGGATCATATCACAGTCTGCCGCCAAAACATTTAATTTAGATGTCCCGCCCAATTCTGAGGGAATCAAGATTCGTTCTTAGTTTTGATGATTGAGGATAGAAGACTCTAAGCCTATGTTAGTCACTTTCAAGTATATATCTGTGTTCTTTCAAACCCTTCTTGAATGAATCAGCTGAAGTTGCAGATACCACTTCTTCTGGGAGTCGGTTCCAGGAGATAATGACTCGGTGTAATAGCCAGAACTCCACAGTGATATGATTTCTCCTTGACTTTTGAACCAGCCTGCCATGCCCTCTAAGGCTTTTCGACCTGGTGGGAGAAAAAAGAGAGAATAGATCTGGTCCTCAGTCATTATTTAAAATTTTAAACAATATAATGAGACTTATCTGTCTGCAATATGAGGAGGGAGATTTAAACTGTTTAGTCTTTCCTCATATGACAAACTAGCCATGGCAAGAATCACACGTGTCACATTCCTCTGAACCCTTGCTAGGATATGTGAGTCCCCTTGAAGACAAGGACTGGCTGCCTGATTAGAGCCCTTCACTCTGACCTCACCAGAGATGTTTATAATGAGGTGAAAATGTCCCTGATGATTTTAATAAAGACACTGTAAGTTTCCCATGAAGATCTGAAACTACGTGCTGCCACCTCTAGGTAATGCGCTGTAGTTTTTAGGTCTTGGCTTAGTGTGACACCTAGGCCCAAATAAGTCCGAAATGATGTAATTGTTATCTCCTCTAGTTCTTAGGAGCTAACGCTTGCGTATCCAATGCGCATGGTTGCGCATTTAGCATTCATTCCTTAGACCACTCTGAAAATTTGTTGAGGTCTCCTAGCAACACACACGCATCACTGTCACCCTCCAGCTACCTCCATAATTTCAATTCACCTACATATAGGACCATAGAAGAGTCAGTGAAGATAATTTATTGATATACGAAATAAATAAGGTAGTCCTCAGTACAGTTCCTTGTGGCACTCCACTGCGTACTGTTTTCCAGGTGGAGAGTTTTGAGTTGGTCCCCACTCTCTGTCTCCTAACTACGAAGAATTCTCTAATTCAGTTTAGTAATCCGCAAATGTAGGTAACTGGTGCTAGTCGACGCTCTTGGTATGGAAAATGCCAGAACTAATTTTCCGAAGGGCCGTTTGTTTGAATTGCCAGGCAGTCTGAATTTCTGTGCAAAACTTTGTGAGCTTAGAAAAGGGAGTTGATTTTTCCACTCTCTTGTTTAATTTCAGCTTTGTTGAGCTAAAATTCAGAAAAACCTTTAGATAATATTTAACTTGAATTATTCTGACTGAAGCTAGTTTTTTTTACTAGAAGTGAGGTTACTTATATAGAGGAAGCATTCTTTTGTAACATTTTTGGGTTTCAGTCCTTCGTAACTTTGTAAAATCCATGGTAAACTCATTGCCATTCCTTGGATCACATATCAGTTATTTCCCACAGAATCGCATTTAGTTTAGAAAAATATGCCCGTGAAGCCTAAAGCAGGATTTAAAGAATTCATCAAATTTCGGTAGAACTCTTACAGCTGAATACTCTACATACGCGGATATGTATATTCTCAAAATTACATTGAGAGATATAACACTGATAAGCACATAAACTACATTGAATTAGCCATGCAGAAAGACAGGTGCAAATGTTTTCCAGGTAATGTTGAAACAAATAAGAGGGCTATCACTCAGACTCTGACGTTGCTATTTCCGTCTCTGCTAAGCCTGCAAGTATGTTTGGCGAAACAGTACTAAGACGCCCTAACTACAGTGCACCTAGATTTGACAAAGAAAAAGTCGCCCATGGATAGTAGTCAGTCACTGCTCAAGTCGAAATGCCAACGTGGCACCAGTGAGTGGCATGATGTAGCCTGTCGCAAAAAGCGAAGCAAAGCAACTACGCAATTTATAATGTCTGTGGAGTATGGAGAGACGGTTGTCTATCCGGCAGCTCGCTCATCATCCAGAAAGTGGAAGAACCTTAGGCTTCAGACCCCATTACTGGGTTTGAACACGATTTCAGTCAAACCAGTCTTAGGTAGGCTAATAACAACAATAGCAACAGGCATAAACACTCATATGGAGTTGGCCTTGTGACCGATGGGTGGGTGGAACGCAGAAGCACCGGAATAAATTAACAGTTTGCCACACTCATGTCTACAGTCTGTGGAATAAACGCACTGAGCTAGGTAGAGGTACATCAAGAAGACCGGGATGTGATCGAACCAAAGGAATCACGGTAAACATCAAAAATCAGTGACATTGAAGTTAACCTCCATCCTTCACAGTACACTGGGTAAGTCGTCTAAACAGTGAATGGGATGGAGTAGTGATCTGTAGCAAGAAGTACCTATTTTTTCATGGCGTCGGGGTACCCGCACACAAAAGTCGGTCACTCGAATTCTCATGAGGCAGACTGAAATGTAAAAGACAAAACTTCGACCTAATTGTAATGTCACCGTCAGGATTGCAATGCAGACGATTTTCTGATTAGGATGCCAGGCTGATGGCGACATCACAACTACATCCAAATGCCGAAGTATCGTAGTTGGTGACTTTGACTCCCTAGGAGTTGACTGGACACACCTCACAAAGCCATACTCAGACAATTCTTTCGATTACAAACTGGTGGAGGCTATCATTTCGCTAGCTCAAGAATAGCATGTCAAAACGCCTGCATGCCGAGACTCAGCGCCTTTCATCAACCCTGAACCTGGCTTTCTTCATTGTAAGAATGTGATATTTATACAGCATCTTCCACCCTTAGGTAGGAGTCGTCACGCTTTGCTCACGTCCAAGTTCTTAGCTGCATCAATATCCCACTGTAAACACATCTCTCTTAAACTTTTGGAAAATGGACATAAATGCTATCGCTTCGGCGGCCTCATCGCAGGACTGGTGCGCAAAGCCAGAGTCTCATGATGAAGCTGATGGGCTCCAATTCAGGCAATTTCACGGGAGGGTACCTCAACTCCTCATCACGTGGTCTGTTCCAAAGGGTTAAAAACGCCGCCTCCCAAGGATAAACCGAGACATTCGGTTGTCACGAAAACAAAGACATGAATTCTGGAAGCTGTTAACCGGAAATGGGAAGGCTGTTGCACTGTAGCCGGAAATAGAGATACCGAACGGATTTGTCAATCAACTTCCATATAAATTTAGCTCAAAATGCAACACCACAGCTCATGAGAATATTTTCGTAGATTAAATCCAGGGGTGAAACATCTAATGGGAGTGCCAAAACTAAATACTTAAGATTACAGAATAGAGGTAGATAGTGAAGGGGCTGTAGCAGAGACAGACTATTCCTCCAAGGTTTTCAGAAATGGGTTTCAATGGCCCTCCACTGCTCCAGCTCTGACTACGTCAGAAGGAAATAAGGTAGATTTCAATGACACCAAGCAAGACATCACATCTCAATCCTTAAAATCTCGAACTAGGGAAGTCACTGGGCCCCAATATGGCCTCACATAGACATTCAGTTGACTACAATCCCCAAACTATCCCCCTAAAATGCAGTGTTGCTCTGTGACTGGAAACACGCCAAAGCAACTGCTTTCGGACAATTTTCTTCGAAATACGGGCCACCTAGGCTCACCAGTATCCTAATCAAGATACCGGGAACAATTATCGAGAAAGTCATCGTGACAAACTGTGAGCATAGCACAGCTTCCTGGAAAAGCTGTTGTCAGCCGCGTCTCATAAACCGTTAATGCCCAGCTCTTGCTACGCTCGGGCTCACGCTGTTCCTTGCAGTTTTCAGAAACGCTTAGTAATAACGGACGAAAAAACCAAAAGACCGATTGGCCACTCGAGAATTCTTTATTGTTACACCAACATATATAAATAATGTTTTTACTAGGGTTTCTGATGGTTGTCTCCTGACTTCTTTCTGAACAGCGACCGATGAGACGATGACTGTCGTATTGATGCCTCCGCGAAAATTGGGGAAGTTGATTTTGAGCAAACAACCAAGAATTGATCGTTCAATCTTCAACTCCATTGACACTCCCCGGCAAAAAAGGGATCCATTCCTTTTTTTCTTCACGACCAATACACGTTGACTTGGATGCCATTGCGAGAACCTGGGTCACACGGACAGAGCTGAAATGGAAAACAAACAGAAAAGCCAACACACCACAAGCATACTCACAGCACAATCTCACACATCAATGACGACCTGCGCCTTCCAGTTAAGGGCATCCTCTTGACATCTTGCAACACAATCGCCACTTGCTAGAATGACTCTTGCAGAATGCAACGTGACCATAGCACCATCTCATGATACTCTACGCACATCCTCTTATCTACTCACTACCAATTACCACTGAAATCGCTTGTCACTCATTCTGCCTCAATTCTAGTAACGATGACGTATGCGAGCCTCAGTCGTTTACACTCTTTCTCCCCGGCGTGTGAGACCACAGCTAACAATTATCTCCGTATGCATTTCATTCTCAGCAATAGCCTCCCCGGCGTATACGACCCATCTGCTGTCCTTAACATCAATCAATTCATTCATGGATGTAGAAGACTCGAAACAACTTCAGAAGTAATCACGACGAAAATTTTAACAAAATTACGCAATAACAACAAGGTACGAAAACAACGAGTAAACACAATGAATCCAAAAACACCAATTGATATGACACACCACACGTATATACAAACAGTACACACAAACTCGCGGATCATGTCTTGATGGAATTCCTTTGAAGAATTGCAGGACTTACACCAGTACGCCTACAACCCTTCTCAGGTTGACGATTGTAAGTTGTGGAATGTCCGGACACAAACAAGATTAACCAACAATTACAATAATTGGAACTCACACAATTATTTAACACAAACATATGTACAATCAACACATCAAATGTTGTGGATTCTGCCCTGACGAACTACCCTTGAAGAACTGTAGGACTTACAGCAGTACGCCTACATTCCTTCTCAGGTTGATGATCCAAGTGGAAGTCGTCCGGACACAAACAGAATTACCAACAGCTAGATGACAAATGATATCAATTCAGTATATACAATATGAACATATGTACAAAATCACACACCAAGCACATTGGACTGCTCATTGATGCGCTACCCTTTGAAGAATTGTAGGACTTACAGCAGTACGCCTACAACCCTT